GTTCCAAAATTTTAATATTTATGGGTGTGACACGTTTCCTGTCACATTAAGGGAAGAATGGAGACTGAGGATGGCTGGTAAGCGTGTGATGGAAATTTATATACCTAGATGGAAGGAAGTAACGGGAAAATGGATGAAGTAACATAACGATGAAAATAATCATTATTTTTATAACCACAATTTGTCACAACTAAACCTAAGAAGATAAGTTAGGCAGAGTATTTAGCAGGCATGGAAAAGACTGGAAACATGTAGAAAATTAAACTGAAAACCAAAAAGAACCACATGGTAGACCTAAACATAAATGGGAGAATATTAAAATTGTTTTTAAAATTTATGTTGGACGATAAGGACTGATTCACGTGGCTCAGGTAAGCTTTTGTTAATATGGTAATGAACTCATTCGTATTCCAAACTTGTGTGGAATAGTTACTAGCTTACTTTTTAATTTTATTCAACTACGCTTTCAATTTCTACTTTTATACTGCGTCAAATAGTACTTCGTTAAGTCAATGGATTGGAACAAACGTGGAAGGAAGCCTAAGGGCCTAACGAAAGGAATTATCCATGCAATTGGTTGTAGAGACTTAAATAAACCATGAAAACTGTCAAACAGCCGATCTCCGGGTCCTGGTTTGAACCCGGGACCTTGCGATTACGAAACAGGAGTACTAACCATTCGTCCGAGACTTTAGGAGAACATACGACAGCGTCACGGAAGGTAACGATTGGTTTTGCATGTAGCATAATCTTCAAAGTAGACAACACCAAATAACAAAAACAAAAATTAATTCTTTCTTGAACTGCAGTCGTCTGAATAGAGACACTCTATTGTTATAAAGTAACAATAGCTAGTAAGCGATCTTCAGATTGATCAAAAAACTCTATAAATCATATTATTGTGATCTTAATAAATATGAGTTGCGTACATTTTCGATTATCTTGTATTTCTGTGTTTCATTTCTACTAGTGTAACTCCAAACTACTTGAAAGTTATGAGGCATATCATCAAAGATTCGCATCAAGCCCATTTTTCAATTCAGGATTGTTGATAGGATTATAGGCGCAACATTTATATGCCCTTGTATGAATGTACAGTGTTTCAGTTTACATCTCAACTTGTGATAAAATTAGATACCAGGCTGTAAATGGAATATGAGATGTAGGACAAAAATATTTATTAAACATAAACCTACATAACTTAAAATGGGAAAACTTGCGGGCTGTAACGGGGCCTGTCCTTGAAGGTCTAACAAAGAAATATTCTTCATATTTACATTTTAGCTGTGTTTATAAATTAGCACCGTATAAAATTTCACTTGTCAAAGACTTATCAAGTTAAAATATTTCGGGACCCTTGTATTAAGCGGGGAAAGTATATCAACTATTAATAGACTTCAAGAAAGCCTATGACTCAGTTAAAAGAGAAGCTCTTTACAACATTTTACTTCAATCTGATGTAGCTAAGAAGCTAGTCAGAATGGCCTAAAACAGGGAGATGCTGTATCGCCGCTGTTTCTCAATTTTGCCCTACAATATGCCATCAGGAAATTAAAAGAAAATCAGGACGGTTTGGAAATTAATGGGACACATCAGCTGTTGGTCTATGCTGATGATATTAATCTGTTGGACGAGAATATAAATACTACAAACGCAAACACAGAAACACTCTTAAGGGATAGTAGGGGTGTTGGTCTAGAAAGAAATTCAGAAAAGACAAAGTTTATGATCATGTCTCGGCGTCAGAAATCAGGACAGAACCAGAATATAAGGATAACTAATGAATCGTTCGAAAATGTGACAAAATTCAAGTACTGAGGGACGACACTAACAAGTCAGAATGACGTTTAAGACGAAATCAAGAGCAGATTAAATCCAGGGAATGTTTGCTATCATTCAGTCCAAAATCGTTTTTGTCCTCCCGTCTCATATCGAAAAACATAAAGATTAAAATATGCAAAAGTGTAATTTTGCCACTTGTGCTGTATGGGTGCGAAACTTGGTCTCTCATATTGAGGGAGGAACACAGATTGAGGGTCTTTGAGAAGAGGGTGTTGAGGAAGATATTTGGATCTAAAAGGGAGCGAGACGGATCACGGAGAAAATAGCATAATGATCAGCTTCACGGCCTGTACTCCTCACCTCATAATGTCAGGGTGATTAAAGTGAGGAGGATGAGGAGGGAGGGACATGCGGCACGCAGGGGTGAGAGGAGTGGTGTTCACAGGGTGTGGGGTTGAAAGATCTGAAGGAAGGAGACCACTGGGAAGACCTAGGCGTAGATGGGAGGATAATGTTAAGATGGAGCTTAGAGGGGTGGAAATTGATGGGGATGCAGCTGGCTCACAATAGGGTCTGGGTAAGCTTTTGTGAACATGGAGATGAACCTTTGGGTTCCATAATGAAAGTGGGTTATTCTTTGACAAGTCGAGTTTACAATCGACTTTTCAAAAACTATCCTATACCACAAAGTGAGTGAGTGGGTGAGTTAAGCGGGGTAGTGTCGTTCGAAATTCACAATTTCTTTCAGTCTCAATGCTGATGTTACCCATAATACAGAATATTAAGAAGAAAGTTGACACTGTGTGCAATGGCTTGATGTCCAAACAACTCCGTCACTTGGTGCAAAAGTCAGAAGCGGTGACGGAGACACGGAGTTATAAAAACATACACAAACAAACAGTTCTAGTAATTTCTGTGTTACAGTTAACAGCACAGAGAGAATTGTGTTGAGATAAAATCAACTATAATGCTGTCACATTTCTTCAAAGTTATATGTTATAACGCGAAACTCTGTTGATATATCACTTTCACTGAACGCAAAATATTGTATTTGGTGAAGATAATATTTGTGACTTGACACACGATAAACAGCAGATTTTGCCTGTGAAATAATTAAGCAAACATTAATAAGCTTTTAGTGTCATATTCTGCAGAAAGATATACAGACTAACCCCATTAATGTGATGGCAGAGAAATCTTCAGAGGAGGTTTCAATACACGTCGATATTTATCTGACAACCTTCACTCTCCATTTAAATCTCTTAGTACATTGGTTCAACAGAGTTGATATACGTTTATAAGGAGACACACGTTTGTATTCTAAGTTTTTAAAAAGCGAGAAATGACAAAATGAAGAAGACAATGTCCATGTTGGACTTCTAGTTAGTAACGCCGTACAGACTTCTAGGTAGATGCCAATGTTTTGGTAATAAGCAGACCCACCACAGAAACGATGACTTCTAGGTAGATGCCAATGTTTTGGCAATAAGTAGACCCATCACAGAAACGATGGTGTTACGACCCAGAAGACGAACATCGACATTATCGTCTGAATCAGAAATCCCACACAAGAACAGAATATGTCTGCAGGTGAAATTTTGGGATGATTTCCTTAAAGTTATCGGCAACCCCTAGACAACTGCTGTTCACGCCATGGACATCGTGACGTGTTACATTCTTCCGTGTCATTCGAAATGTGTGTTGTTTTGCTTGGCAGCTTTCACTGTTAGGTGTTGAAGGTGATGACATCTGCTAAATGTGGTGGAGAGACTACGCTATAAGTAGAGTCGTCTTAGCAACCCTGCGGACACTGCGTGGATTGATTAGGGCTACTGAAGATGGCGACGCACGGGTTGAGAGTGGTAAGTGAATATTGAATTTGCTTTTGTAAAATGGGAGAAAGTAATTTTTTGTGCTGTTCTCACGGTTAATAAACATCATCATCCTATTAATTTCTAACCACTAATCGCAATCATCTTTAATATTAATTCCATCTCAAAGTAATTTCATATTAAAATACTCTCATCTCTGCGTTATTTAAAACGAATTCCACGGAGTGTTGTTCATCCTCAGAGCTGAAAGATGATGTCTTGTCACCTATTAAAATAATAGACAACTTTTATGGTATCAAATATTCATCATCACCGTCAAACTAGCAAGCTATTGGGTCATAAGCTAAGCCAGATGAACCTGGTCCACACTCTAAAATTTTATGCATATAAGGACCATATGAATAATATCTTCCCATTTACACCTAGGTCTCGCAACTAGGCTGTTTCCTTCTGATCAACAGACTAAAATTTCGAACGCATTTTTAACCTCCTCGTTCAACGATGCCCCACCAATCTCATCATTCTTACGTCACCCTAAAATTTTGTAAAAATACAAATTTTACGTAAGTTAACATATACAGTCGAGAAAGCGTCGCTAAACAAAGAAAGAAAGAAACAATCATGTTAAAAGTAAGTTGCTTAGACCTTAATTCCATGGCAAGTGCTTCTTTTGAATGATAATTCTTTAGTACACCATCTTAAATTATCTTTTATTTAATTGTATTTTTGAGTGTGTAAACTTTATGGGTTAAAGCAGAGAAAAAATCATTTCCGACTTAACAATATATGAGATTTATAAATCTTATTTCCTATTTTCAAATGCGTGTGTTCAATGTCTGTTACAAACTCAGTACATCACTCATCACTTCAGATCGGAACAAGAACACACTGGTTCACCTACTGAATTAACAACCCGATTATGTCCACAGGTTTCAGTCTGCTTTATGCTGATGCTGGGATCTGAAGCTGCTCCAGGCAGCTCTGCTGAATTCTCCCCTAAAGTAACGACTTACACTTTGCCAGTTCCCGTTTTCGGAGACACTTCTGCAGTAGAGGGCGTGCTGACAGCAGCGAGGCACACAGCTGCTGAAGGCATTGCAGGTAACAGATATCCGAGCTCCATCTTCTTTTCGGCTCAAATTTCCATTTGAAACGTCCGTTTCCGTAGCTTATAGTCGGTTCCTTCCGAGTATTTACATTTTAAATAAGACAGTACTACCTTCTAAGGAAGAGATTCTCAAACCCAAGTCCCCCTATTTGTTTTCTAAGACCAACTCTGCTAACCTCCATGGTGAAAAATAGTTCCCTGTTCTCTGAGATCAAGTTTCGTCGTTGTCAGTATCTGACAGTATTAGTCGCTGTGAGCAACTGTACAGCTTAGTGAAAAACGTCCAATCAACAAACATGACGCATCTTTCTGATGAACATTTGATGGATGTATGAGAATCGTAATAACAAAAACTAAAGCGGATATTGAAAGATGGCTGCCTTCTGGGCTGCAGCGCCGTGTAGTCTGGTAGAATTTTATCAAAGTTACAGAGGTCCTTGCTACTTCCATCATCGGGCTATGAGTCAGCGCTATTAAACTTCGATAAACTTCTAGCAGACAACACGGCGCTACAACCCATAAGACAACAGATAAAAACTTAAATCCTGCAGTTACTGAAAGATTACTCAAGCAAAAGGAGAGTCAGATATCTTATCAACAATCGATGTTCTTAAGGAAAATTAATGAGCGTTATATTAACCTGTTTATAATAGTAAATTTGTAATATAATTAATGAATACACATGAAGTTTTAATAAATTGTTCTCATTTAAATAAGCTTGAGGCCTGCGAGTCAATTAGTGAGTGTAAATTTGGGAATCAGACTGATGAACCCTGTTATAAAGAATAGAAATATAATTTAAATAAATGTTTCACTAACTTACAAGGAGCACAGGGCTTAATATCTCTAAAAATAAATAGAGACTTTACTCTGATCCCGGAATGTTGCACGATCAAAGACTAGGATTTAACTGAGGATCGCGACCGTCAAATCTTGCTGGCCGGTCAGAATTTTCTTTGCAATTGGTAAGGTATTAAATTTTGCTATTAGAACGTCCACTGAATTCCAAGGGGAAAAACAGCGACAAATATAAACGACTTTATGTTTAAACATTTGCTTTTGCTTCATATTACACAAAGGACGATAATTTTCTTGTAAAATTCTAAGCATTCTGTGGCTAATATAAGAATTTCCTACTTTTATGCAGAAGGTGAGTAATAAATATTTCAGTTTAATTACACTTCCCTCGACTACAGAAGAGGATATAGAATATATTAAACATGTAAGAGGCAAGTAAATATATATTTTTTCATATCTGACTCAAAGTTAGAACATGGATTTCTCTTGCACTTGTACCCTGAGGAAGTTTGAGGTTATGGATTATGCTTCTGAAATAATATTTTTATCCTTTCCCGCTTTCTTCCTTAGTTTTCAGCATGAAGAACATGAAGTCCAATACCCCAGTTTTGAGGAGCCCCAAAATAATTGTCGACTTGCTAATAGGGCATTAGCATGAAAGCAGCTACACGAAACTTCATATTCAAATGTTTAGGTACCATATACGAGACTCCTATACATTCATCTGTTTCAGTATGAAGCTGTTACCATAGATAAATATGTTTTAAACTGCGTTTCGAGTAATGAAATGCTGACAGTTGCCGGACTGTGAGTACTAATTAGAATATAATCTATCTAAATATTTCAATAATTCCGTCATAAGAATGAACGAGTCATCGGTTTTAAGAAAGAAGTTATCAAAACTTCTACAGAAGCATAAGAATATATAAAGAAAGGGGTTCCAAAGAAACAATTATACCAACCTCTACACCTTGTAAAAGTGCCCATAATTATCCTTCAAAATCTACAAAAAGTCACCAACTTCCTCGCATTCCCACAACTAATCTTGCTTCTCGATTGTAATCTTCAGGTTTTGACGCTTAACAGTCTTATAAATCTTTAGGAGGTTATCAACTTTTCGGAGGAACCAGTCAGGCACATCTTATTCGCTGAAAATGGAGTCGATAATTTCCTCAGACACTTGTTAAGCACCTTGAATATAGTAAGCATTGACAAATGGTTATAACCTCTATATTTCCAATGCAAAGATAATGAAAATAATTTTTACATGTACATTTTAAATGGAAATGCCTATTTACTTCCCACCCATCCTGTAGTACACAACGCCACAAAGTAGAAGGCCTGAAACTATATTTTCACAGCCGTAAAGCCCTCAAATTCCAAAAGATTTTTTTGAGAAGCACAAATAAGGATATTTTTGTCAAGTGTGATTATATTTCTTAATTTTCGTTGCAAGTAGTCTATCAAATGTTAGCTAAATTGTAAATTATGTAGACCATTTTGTGCTTTCTTGCGAGCTTAGTCATCATTTACAATATTGTCTGTCTGTACCACTGTTCTGAACGACAGACGTACAGACTTACGAAACGCGACCCGTTCTACAAACAAATATGTTACAACTACAGAAGATACTGCATCCTTACTAATTATTAGGATTGGTCTTGCGAAAAAGAAGTGGTTTTGAGCTTTCCGGTTATTTTCAGTAACACATTCTTTATTAATGAAAGACTCTCGGGCCAAAATCCGCGCCAGGTGGTCACGTGACGCGGCTTGTAGCCCGAGAGTCTTTCATCAACTTCAGTGGCCGCGAAAGCTTCACCTTATACGTTCTTTATTAGTTTTACGTATTGATGACGAAAAATAATTCGACCGAAGTCATCGTAAAGGATATCCTACAAGGCCATAGTGTAGGCACAAGAATACTGAACTTCTTATACCCTTTTTAGAAAAAACCTATGTAAAACAGATTATGTCCAAGTTAAATTTACGAGATATAATATTACTGTTTCGCACCGTCGCGAAGTTAATAACAGTTGACATGTAAACCATAATTTATAGGAATATTTATAAGTAATTATACTATAAAACGTAATGAACTTCCAGCTTAGATTGTCCGTCAGCTGTCAAGCTTTCAGTTTGACAGGTGACGGAAGTTCATTACGTTTTATAGTATGTCAGCTATCAAACTGAAAGCTAAATTTTTTGTAAGGTTATTATGTTGTTTCACATTAAAAATTCTAAACAAATTTGTACATTTTAGGAACTTACATTACGTATACTTAGTGTCATTCATATTTCAAACGTTAGCGTGTTCATCATGAAGTTATTACCGATTGTAGGTAATTAATGAGCACTAGATTCGAATATCTTTTCATGATAAAATACTTTTAAAAATTTCGTGAAAATCAATAGAGTAGTAATAGTTGAAAGAGCTATAATGATTTCATAAGTCCACATTTATTCTGTTAAGAAAGGAATGTACTTAAAATATTACTTTCACACAATTTATTATTCCATTATGAAGGAAAAAATAAGATTTTTGAGGTTCTTAGTTTGAGACCATGAGCCTACAGGATATTTTTAAAAAGGACTGTCGACTGATTCTTTGTACAAATTGTAAATTACTGGTCAAAACGTTGGCTAATACTACAGACACTTTCCGAGATTGTAAAATCTTGACCTGAGATAAGCACTTTCACGTGTTCACAGTTATAGCTACTAATATAGACAATGTAGACAGACCACAGTTATAGCTACTAATATAGACAATGTTTACAGACCGCCTTTGTCATGACCTACAAACAAATATTCATAAAAGTTCGGCAATTTTTGTAAGCACATTAGAAGACGATATAACTGCATAGACACACAAATTATAGTAGAGTACCTCAGTATTCTTATAGTTAATATGTGAAATATTATTGCTATTCTTATTCTCATAGGCGAGCTATATAATCCCTCACAGATATAGACTCAGAAGTTGATAAAAACTGATTTAAAGCTGTCCTTCTAATCGAGAGACTAAGGATATTCGAAAAAACCGGATGTGTATTGCATATTGCAATTTCTTTAATAATTTCTTTCTCTCGCCTGATAACTACCTACAGGGAATTAATTTACACACCTAATCGACACTTTTAAGTACGAGACAATGAGCTTCCCGCTGTCCTACGAACTTTCGTTTGGATGTTTGCCTAATTAAATCCTATTTACTTTAATTTAAATACGACCTGTTCTCAGGATTGTTTCTTTGCCCCTCTAAGTATATTCCTGTGTTGCCTTGCTTCCCATAATTTTGGGGGAGCTTTGTGCTTCGATTTTCCATCCTGTTCAGACGTTCAGTACATTAAAACTAAACTTTCTGTTGTTTCTGATCTCTTAATTGTACTTATTCCATCAATAGGTCTTGGTCAAGAGACAACCTTTGCAACTCCTGACAGCAGTGTTGAAGCCACAAGTTCAGAAGATACATATTATGCACTGCCGACATCTTCCGGAAGCGATGGTTCTTCAGCGGTACAAAATCCGTCCCCAGGTTATGCCGCTCCCTCGCCTGTATTTCCATCCGAGGGGGGCCAGGAACACTTCGGAGTGGGACAGTCACCTGCAGCTCCCAGCCGCTTATATGCGTCACCTGCAACAACGCATTCGGGCAGTTCGGCGTCAAACATCGGCAGTGCCCCAGCAGCAGCTGCTGGATCAAGCAGTTTCGCTGAAGCCTCTTCTTCAGCCAGCCAAGAAAACTTCGGACCCTCCTTCTCGCCTGCCTCTCCCGTGTTTCCTATTCCTTCATATTCTCTTCCTTCAGCTGCACCTGCAGCTGCTGGAACAAGCAGTTTCGCTGAAGCCTCTTCTTCAGCCAGCCAAGAAAACTTCGGACCCTCCTTCTCGCCTGCCTCTCCCGTGTCTCCTATTCCTTCATATTCTCTTCCTTCAGCTGCACCTGCAGCTGCTGGAACAAGCAGTTTCAGCGGAGCCTCATCTTCAGCCAACCAAGGAAACTTCGGACCCTCCTTCTCGCCTGTTTTTCCCAGTCTGTCATATGGAGTTCCTTCATCTGCCCCAGCAGCTATTGGATCAAGCAGTTTTGCTGGATCTTCAGCCGGACCAGCAGCTGCTGGTTCACAGAGTTTCGCTGGATCTTCTTCATTTAGCCAAGGAACAGGATTCTCATCTGTTCCTTTATATTATCCTCCTTCACTTGCACAAGTTGGCAGTGCAGCATCTAGTTCCCCTCCCTTCCCTCCTAGTCCCTCATATGGGGCTCCTTCTTCAGCCCCAGCAGCTGTTGGATCAAGCAGTTTTGCTGGATCTTCAGCCGGACCAGCAGCTGTTGGATCAAGCAGTTTTTCTGGTGCCTCATCTTCAGCTAGCCAGGCAAACACTGGTGTTTCTTTCGCACCTATATTTCCAGTAACTTCATATGGCCCTCCAGGATTACCTTAAAATTTTATAGTAGAAATCAATGTATTAAGTGTATAAAGTAAAATATTCTTTCAGTTGACACTGATCGGGGTGCAGAAAACAACAGTGCCTTTTTTTAAATGTTCAGGCCATAAAATATTTATTCTCAGTTTTGATAATCGATATATGGGTGAAATATTAAATGTAATCATCTGGGCTTGTATTTTTACATATCTTTTCAGTCGAACTGTACCAAATGAGTTGAAAATTCAAGTCCACTCTGGCTGCAAGGGGGCCCAAAATGGAGTGACACGTAGAATTAATCAAAAATATAGATGATAAGTGATGTAAATCTTCCGATATGGGTTTTCTGACAAAAGTATAAAGAATACAAAGGGTCCAAAATTAGATTATGATTACTTACAGAGTTTCTTTGTTTTTAATTGTAGCACCTTTTCCTTTAAATATCCACTGACGCCAAAATGTAGTACAGTCTGCATTCGAACAAGTTTTAATCTCTGAATGCTCAGTATCTGGATTTCTAAACAGTAAAAGCTTGCCTTTCTCAAGGGGGAAACGTACACATGCATGTTGCTGCACTTCAGAGCTCTTATTGATCCCGGAGAGTACAAAGCAGTAAAGAGCATGACAACTAAGAAACATTGATATATTTACAAAATGGTTGTCTCTCTATAATTAGCAATTTCTTAAGGAGTGCCTCTTTAAATATTAAACAACAGTAATTCTTCACGAGTTTGTTACAGACAATACATTAAAGTTTAATTACCTTAACCTCATTTTTGTGTTATGTTTCTATATTTGTCATAATGCATAAATTGTTCGAACCATTTCGATACCTTCAGTAATCACAAAAATAGGTTAATCGTCATCACACTACCCCAGTATTCAATAGGTTCCTGAATCAGTCCCAGCCGTTGCAACTAATACTAAAATAAAACAACAATAAAATAATTTCATTAAAGTCATGACCTATCAGAATAAGACATGATTACCGCAAACTACTGATACGTGGTGGAGTGTTTAATGATAGAGTACTATGAAACCAGCTACGTATACATTATTATTTAGCCAAATACATTTATTTATAAGACAATAAATAGGGACTTTAAAATTGGGAGCCGGGGCATCTCAGTCAGTATAAGGACAAGGCTGACACATGACTTCGATACTTGGCGGTGTTAGGGACTTCCCTCTGCATGGTCATATATTCGGGGCAGGAAAAAATATTTGGGAAAGGGTGGCCGGAGATTGAGGCAGGGCACTCACCTCAATTAAGATCGGAGGTTATGAACGCGTGGAGCTTTACCTCTACTCCTCCAACGTACGTGAGTACAATGAAGTGATATTTATGTTTAATTTCGTTCTATTAAAATAAATGTGGACAAATCTTGCATGTCTGATTTTGGCAAATGAACGGGAAATTTTATATCATGAAGCAATGTTTGTTCCACTCAATACCACTCACATTTTTGACTTTAACAAGATCACAGAACAAAGTTAAGTCCGTTCAGGATACTTACCCAAGTGAAACTATTAGTGTGACCTCGATTATAAAGTGAGATCTGAGGTTTCCACGATGGTGAAGATGATCCATAGGTTGCGATTTAAGAAGGCATTTTATAAAACATTCAACAGACGACGGATAAAGTCCCAAATGAGAAAATTAGTTCGGTATTAGAACACGCCACGAAGATGCAAGGCGAATTGGAGATATAACACATTCTTAGTTTCGATACTATCAGAATTTGAGTGGTTAGCTTCATATACCTAGTGCTTTACTCACGAGGAAAGAGCTCCAGGCACCTTTCCGATTCTGGGCTGGGTGGCATCCAAAGCCGTTGTGGGCGCGATAGCGAAGATAAAAAAAAGTGCCCAAGCCGGGAATAGAACCTCGATATCTCAATTCGTAGGCCAGTCATTATACTGACTGAGAATCCCGGCTGCACATAAGCAACGTAACAAAAATGTCGACACCAGAACCATTACCAATTAGTCACGTTGCATAACGAAGCGATATCAGTTGAGCCTACAAGTTGAAAAAGATCTTTGAAATTTTTAACTTTATCTGACATAAAAGTACTTCTAAAAGCTTCCTAACAGTATCAGCACTTTAAGATAGATCACTGTACTATCTGGCGTCATTACTGAGAACTTAACGTGTGTATTTGTTCGTTTAAAATATAAAATTTCAACTTGAAAATTTACACTCATGTCAAAAGTAACAAGTAAAATACAGTGCGTGGTTAGTAACAGGATAAATGTTTGGTCAAATTTAACGAAGTGGTACAATTCCTGCCCCAGCTTTCATAGATGTCAAACTTTCTAGACTATAATTGGTTCTGTAGCCTGATCTTCTAGATAAGATCTGTTATGTCTGACTCTGGAGGAAAACAAGTGGAAGATTTAACGGTCTATTTAGGAGGTGGAAGCACCACATTCTCATACTTTGCAATGCAGATATAGAAGTATATTTCACTCACATTTATTCACATCACAATTACCAGGCTGATTTTGTAAAATTTAAAAACTATCGATTGCTGTTCATAAATGGCAATTAAACAACTTTAATGTCATTTTTTGATTTATGGTTAATTTAAAGGTACAGTCAGAAGATCATATTACACAGCGTCAAATACTAGGATAATTAGTGAATTGGTAAAGATGTAGCAGGAAGCAATTGTACTGTCCTGCCACTTTTCTGGAGGAAGTGAGGAAAACCACGAAAAACTTCTGTCAGTATAGTCGGTCTACGGTCCCAGATTTCCTCCTTTTACGCTCCACAAAAAATGACTTTGACGGAAGTCGAACCGAAGATGTTTTATTCCAAAACATGTCAGTATCCTACAAGTAAGTACAGCTATAGTCATTCCCACCTTAAAAATTCGAACAAGTATGTCGGTATTATTGAAATGTACAACGTTGGGGCGCCCTCTGGAGGCAAGACGCAAATAAGAATGTTTGTGAAGACTGATTCAGTATTTACTAAGGGGCAGAAACAGAAACACATGATGGCAGTGTAAGGCTGTCCGGAATAAGAAAATTAAGCTTCGAATAAATAATTTATTAGGGCTATAAGGACGTTTAGGGCGATGTAGCACGCATAAGAAATGACAACATTCGTGCACACTGCTGATCGAAAAGTCTGTACAAAATATACTGCTAGGAAGATCTAGACGTGTATGGGAAGATAATATTAAAATGAATCTCGAGGAAGAGGTTGTGGATTGGATTCCTCGGCTTCAAGGTAGTGACCAGTGACGGATAATGCGAACACAGATACGAACAATTGTGTTCCATTGAGGATGATTAATATCTTGACTACCTAAACGACTATTAGCTTCTCAGGAAGGACTCTACTACATAAAGTTATGAAAAATTGTAGAGGGTCAAATTTTATTTAACTGACTGAGAACAGGATTATATTTTAGATTACTCTCATAAATCCTGATGTCCGTTCAAGAAAAGAATGTCTTGAAAAGTTACATAACATTTAGACTGTCCACGCTGGGAGTGGAGCTTGAGGTGTGTGAGCCGTACGGCCGGGGTTCGATCTCCGATTACAACGTCACCACAGTTGCCCCTTTATCAAACACAAAATAAAGACTATAATCACCCATCCTCTTATGAAAGAGACGAAAAGAATTTATCCCGGGGGCTAGGCTGAATGATTACATTCACACACATGCATTCGACCCACGGCCAGCCAGGCTTTAATGACGCACTAAGACACTAAAGACAATGCATTTTTTTTGTTTTCGGAAGTCATGATGTTAGCCAAGTTGTTTTGCTATTACACAAAGCACTTACTTTCTTTAGAACCATCACAGTCTTCACTGCGAAATTTCAGTAGACGACTCTGACGAATCCAACACTTCAGAGCAATTTCAAGGTCACACCATATTTTTATATATTTTCGTCATTTCGTGTGAACCTCGTAATCAAGAGACCTGAAAACATCATTATCCAGAAGAAACAGAGGACAACTGACCTTGAACAGTTTCTGCTCCCCAAAACAAAAGGAATATAAAAGACCTATAAAATATTTGAAAACAGATTAGTTTAAATTCAGCTATCCAGCCATGATAACATCCTTGGAAACAGTAAGTAAGACCACAGAGATGGTTTATCTCACACGATTTTGTCATAACTTAGTTTTCCTGATCTTCCATATAGCTTTAAGACGATGTAGACAAAATTGATTGAATTCCTTGGTTTACCTAACAACAATGCAGGAAAATACGTTATTGGAGTGGGTACATGCTATCCTCGTTGGCAGAGTGCCTTGTGAAAAGCTATGTACCCGATCTTAACTTTCCATGGCAACAGGGTGTTTCTTTAATTAATAAGGGCTAAAAAAATCCTTTACTTTACAGTACCTACCTACGATGTAATTTCCTAACTAAATTCTACGTGCATAAAGCTTCCAGTAGCTAATTGCAATCTTGCTTGAACTATCCATATGATGGAAAAATTGAAAAAATGGCTCGTGAGCGAGCCAGGTTCATTTTAACAGTTTAAATCATAAAAAATTCACAGAATTTATATTATCGTATAATAGATGTTTTTGAAAACTGCATCTAAAATGTTCATAAGGCAAGCCTCGAAGATTCCCTGAGGTTTGAAGACATAAAAAATTAATCACGTGGGATTTGAGGTTTTCACGGCGGTGAGTCTTCTGGAGTGTTGCGCCGTGTAGTCTGGTAGAAGTTTACCGACGTTTCAGAGGTCGTTGCTACCTCCATCTTAACGGCGATAATCCAGAAGACATCATGTTGAAAAGTAATCACTTCCGGTAATTGTACCTAAAATATTCACAAGGCAAACCCCGAAGTTTCCCTGGAGAGTTTAAAGATACACAAAAGTAATCACTTCTAAAAGCACAATCTTAGTATCAAGTTCAACGAAAGTATTTGTAAAAACGACTGTTACAAATCTCATACTACTACGTATAAAGCATAAACCTTCTGTGTGCGTTCTTTACAGTGTACAAATAACGCTTAATGGGAAGGTCATATTTATCTGCCCAAGTATTTCAAGTTCGAAACCAATAAACAGATGATAACATTTGATATTGGAGTTCTATAGTGAAAGTTGTCGGACGAGTCTGACTTTTATCAATATCTGACCTACAACTAAAATACGTTTTAAAGACAGGTCATCATACAATATTGACAGAATTTCATATCACAAACATGATTAACATCTGAAATTTTGTCTTACCTCCCAGATAATGCAGTACTTGGTTTAAATCCCGCTTGTGTCTGGTCTGTGATTGTAAAGTTCTTGCTATGGCATAATTGATTCACTGTTCTTGGATTAATACAGCTGAAAACGTGTCTAAATGGAGGATACCATGATCTACATAGCCTTAATACCAAAAAACTTTAAATTAAATTTCAGGTACTTGTAGCCTTGTTACTAGCAGTCATTGACCTGCCAGCATGCAAGAGCGGGTCTGAACAGAGTTTAGATTCTCTGTTACGAGATGGCGACAAATCTCAGTTGCGTGAAGTTCCGCCTTCTGCCGAGAGAGGTCCTCCGCCTGGCTCACAGTTCGTGCCTATCCCTACAGTGCCGCTACCAAGCGGTGCCATGCGCCGACCTCACCCTTCCAGACGACCGTCGGATCTACCTCCACCACCGCCTCCAACGTCGTCAACAGCGCCCCCACTCCCACCAGAAACTCTGGTCATTACAGAGGATATAGACCTGCTTCATTCACCACGAACACGCCCCAAACGCCCGAGACCTACATTTTTTACCACATCGACAGAAGGGTCCGGGGTGAAAGTCCCACTAATACACTCCGAGGACTACAGGAACATCGACGGGAGCTACACATTTGAGTAAGTAGATGTCAGTACTGAGCTCGAATCTCGTGTTTTTTTTTATTTTTAGTGTTCTGTCTGACGACAGGTCCATATATTATGAACAGGATCCTTCCAACCTCTTCAGGTTGTCAGGGACCTGCTCATACATATATAAATTCTTGGCAGAGATGATCAGAAGTGGTTTGCCATTGCCTTCTTCTGTGTGTGAGTGGAGTAATTGTTGGGATGCCACGGAGGAAAACTCCGTGATGCCTAGACCACGGCCTTGCCCAACACAAGTTATAAATTTGAGCATGACAATTTTTCCGACTTCGCCAGTGACTTCCGAAATTCAATCTGCGAACACTTTGTGGTAATGATGACTTCCTCTAAACGTTGCCTGGGCTCAAATCGCAAAAGTCTGTCACATTGCGTAACCATAAATGGTGATAAATGGCGGCAGTATTTGCCAATGCTAAGTTTCCATTAAGTACCACCTGAATTTTTCAAATGAAGGATGGACCTTGATGACGTAAAATGCCCAGACACGGGATATTTCTTTGCATAAATCAAAGTAACATCTGTTTGTAATGGTCTCAGTCACATTAAATTAAATAGAATTCTAACAATTTCGGAAACTTCAGAGGGGCTGCAGTAATGTGTGTGGTGACAATGAACCATATCCAAGCAACTTATCTAGTCGACGCAGTAAAACCTGGAAATATTATTATACCTGCCGAAGATAAGTGTTAGAATAACTGAACTTTCCTTAGCTGTTATTTCCAATGTGCGAGGAACTATTCACCATCCCAAATTTGTTATTTTTAGAATATTTCCCATCTGATGATGTAACAATGCCGTCTTGCGTCATCATTATTCCACCCGTATCGACTCTTAAGACTCATACGATTTGTCCTTATTCGCACTGCTGCCTTCACTAATATATTACTTCAAATTGTTTACAAAATATACCTTATTACTGAAGAATCTTCTGCATGGCGGAATAGAAGTTACACCGAACTTCACCTTTGGTTCTTCATATGATGATACGCTTTGCATATAATTAGTCTATAAATTTTCGTTCCTTCTAAACTCTGTTCCCAAAATTTCAAAATCGTGACTCGCCCAATTATCTTATTTTGCATATTCAGTCTCCAACGAAGCATTTTTTGTATTATTTGCCTTTGTTTTTTAATTTAATGGAAATGCCAGATAAATCTTTCATTCCTGGGGTCGTACTGAAAGTCATTTATTAAATAGATTAACATAGACATAAATGTTGATCTGTAAACCAGAAAATACTTATTTATCATTCAACTGTTATCTTTGATGCCAATTTCTTTTCAAACGGTCCCCGATATTTCAAGCGAGGAAGAAGAATGAATTCATGAACCGAAATTTTCTGCTGACAGCTGACATATTCCTGCTTCATTCGTAATAAACTCTCCGTTCGGATCGGCATTTCTCATAGTTACATAAAGCTAGATGAGAACTATTACAGAAATACCCATAAATAATTTTTAATTATTTTTACTTGTCTTTACAGACGAAGAATGACAAAGCATGAACAGGATTAAAAATCCTCTGTTTCTCGAACGCATCGGGTACGCGGGTTCGAAAAGTGATCAAGTCTAAATGTTTTTTAATGAAGTCACCATTATATTGTTTTACACCACACAAAAATTACTATACCAAAGATTAGAATTTTTTCCAAAAATCAAAACTACACATTATTGAATGACCCTTCTACAGATGGCGATAGAAACCTATCAAGTTGGTTTGACCACCATTGTTGTTATTATTAGTATCTTTGCCATAGTACGGTGATAATTTTGGCGTTTGTGGGATAATATTAAAAATGTTGCAATGGTAATGCTGTCAAGGGAGGCCTATGTGCATATATTGCAACACAGCACAGTTGTAACCTAGGTATAAGAATGAATTAGTGACTTTAGTGCGTGAAATTTTATCATATTATTTAATTAAGGAAAGGTAAATAATTATATTAATTTTTTGTTTTACTATGTTACTTAATTTTGATGTTTATGTGCCACTTTAAGAAAACAATGCACTAAAACGGAAGACTGTGCACTCATCCATGGCTTACTATGTACGTATATGTGCTTATATGCAATGCAGCAAAGAAGATGTTTGCGTGTTAATGCTTCGCTGCTTTCTTAATTAAACATATAATTAGAAAAAACTTTGCACTTTAAATGATAGTTTAGATTTCATCGCCATAATTAATGAACAACTTTCTAGTTTTCTATAAACCTAACGTTCTACATATTACACTGCTTATACAGGCTAAACCAGTATTTTATATAAATTCATATAAGAACTATTAAATATCATTTTGAGAATCTCTAAAAAATGTACAACTCATAACTACGTTTAAATGTATTCGTTTTATTTTCGAAACGTTTCTCATAATTAGCCTAAATAATTAAATTCACGTTCTATTAGCCTATTATCTACCACAATCTTACATGTCAGCTTAAAAATTTGTAATACTCTCCCAACATTGTCACGGTGATTAAGTCGAGAAGAATGAGATGGGCGGGACAAGTAGCGCGCATGGATGGGACAAGAGGTGTGCACCGGGTACTGGTTGGGAAACCTGAAGGCAAGAGACCGCTGGGGAGACCTAGACATAGATGGGAGAATAATCTCAGGCGGGATCTATGGGAGATGGGAGTTGAAGGAGACTGGATTTTGTTGGCCCAGGACAGGGTCCGGTGGAAGGCTTTGGTTAATTCAGTGACGAACCTTCGGGTTCGGTAAGCCATCTAGTTAGTTAGTTAGTCTTACATGTCAGTGGTTTTATATTTTACAGTGCTATCGATAGGTTATAAACCTTACCAAAAGCGTTAAATAAATCCAAAACCATTTAGACAAGCAAGTAAATGATTTTGGCTGAACACATTTTGTTTCAAAGAAAACGACAAATAATCCGCGTTCTCCATGTGAATAAATGTTTCTTACTCTTTTGTATACGGTTCAGTTAGTATATATTTCTATAGTATGTATTTCACTGCATGCATTAAGCTTTACTGTCTGCAGTTAACATGATTTCTTTGTTTGCTCAATCTGTAACATTTTACTTTCTTTCGTGGCTTCATACAACACAGCAAGTGCCCAAAGCCCTTCAAGATCTGAGGTCACATTAAGAAATTTTTGACCCGCGGGTCGCCTGGTTATAAATTACAACGACCTATAAAAACGTAACATAAATTTATTAAACATTACTACTATTTCAGGGGCAGAGGATTTTTCCTCTAGCCTCTGCGTCCAGACCGGCTCTGGGGCCCACCCAGCCTCCTCTACAATGGGTACCGGGGTCCTTTCCCGGGGGTAAAGCCGGACGGGGCGTGATGCTGACCACTCACCCCCATCTAGTGCCGAGGTCAAGGAAGAGAGGAGCTATACCTCCACTCACCCCAAACGCCTACATGGCGTATAGTGGGACAAACTTTACTTTACTTTACTGTACTTTACTATTTCAGACCGGTTCACTATAATATTCAGTAACTATAAATTTGTAATTTTTACTCATATAAATTAACCACTTACAATTAAATATTTAATTTCGACATAATAATTTTATCATTATACATTGAAGGTTATACAATATTAAAAAAAATATACGCGAGCTGCACATAATACCGGTGGACAGCGGGTTGAGAACCCTTCAACACATAACTAAATATTAGTTACTAATTTTCATTCAAATGAGTCCTATGACGTCAGTGATCGCGTGTTGTGGGGCGTGGGTCTTGGCCATTTTGGTGCTGGGGTTCGAGGCTCAAGGAATGGATGCTTGTGCTCGTCTTTCTGTGTTGTGCTGTTCTGCATAGGCAGAGGCCTTTGAACAAGTTACCAGCAGTGCAAGGAGTCCTACGGAAATTCTTTAAACAAAATTTATAATTTCAGAAGTAATTCTGAGTTTTAACATTGATGAAGATGATGGAGCGATGTGTAAACTATTGCAGGTTTGAGGCGGCGAATTCGATAGTGCAGCGAGAGACAGGTTACACTCGTCGTAGTAACGGAAAAGATATCCTCGTCAAGAAGGGCTTCTACCGGTTTGTGAGCCCTGAGGGACTGCTCTTCCGGGTGGACTACCAAGCCGACGAGAAAGGCTTCAGGGCTACCGGAAAACATCTGCCGACATCCAACACTAGTACGAACAAAAGATAGTTCAAAGGCAACTCTTGTTGGAATTACGTTGTGGACGTTTAAAATCAGACTTCAGAGTAAATGTTAATTTGATAATAAATGAAATATATAAATAAATAAAATGTGAATAAATTATCTCGCCATGATCTTTTAAAAGGTATCTTCAATTCAGGATTTGTCTTTATATACTCTTATATGTTACATGATTTACCCATCTCCTCTTACTTGATTGAACAGCGTATCTATTATTTAGCTGAAAAATGTGTGAGAAATTCAAAGTCCTTCGTAACTTCTCAACAGAATTATAGAACAGTGAACAGCGACAGGAAATGTTTAGAATTTTATAGAATCACTCCTCTGCCTCCTGCACTACCAGCGGTGAAGGAAAAGTCCACGTGTTCCCTCTCAACTTTTTACTTCATACTACAAAAATGTTACTTTAAATTACATGTAGCGTATAACAGAATGCAGATAAAATAAATGAACCAGGTAGCAAATGGACCTGCATATGCTGAATGAGTTAGGAATCAAATCTTCTAGAGCAGTGGTTCCTAAACAATGTGGTGCGCGATACATTCAAATTGTTTTGAGTAAAAATTATGAATATGCTCCAAATCTGAAGTACCAAATAATGAAATTAAATACTTAAAAATGAAAAACCTTAACATTATTCTGTAATCCTAACTTGAAAGTTTAACCGTTTAGAGCAGTGATAACTGTACGTACCACCTGATTTTATTCAGTAACTCTTGCCCATAGAATGTAATGTAGGTTTCCTGTGGTTTATATGAAACAGTGATTATTCCCCCAAACATTACTTTTTTAAGGGTGGCAATAAGTTCTTCAATATTTTGTATATGAACGTCGAGATTTAGTAACTAGTTCTGTCTGTGACACTCTATGCGGGCCCTTGTGTTGTCAACAATTCAGTGGTTATGTTGTAGAATTGCATGTTCTTTTATACTGTTTGGTACGTGTTCTGCAGTATTATGCGCCTTCAATAATCACCCTCCACAAACCCATAGATTTATTGTTCTTATTTCAGCTCTTATCAGGGGTATTTTATTTTATTTTTCGATTTTAGAAAATATGTAAACAATGCTTTTTCAGAAGAATAAAAGTTTTTTATACATGGACATAATTGAATTTGTGGATAGGTCATTAGTTTACCGACTTCACTTTAGCGTGTTTCTAAGCACACTTATTAAATATAATTATAACGTGAAAACAAAAGAAGATATTTTTATGGTTTGAGACGTGCACCAACATCATTTGACTCTAACGTAATTGATGGTGAATGCTGTCACGACACATCATAAGTGTAAATTGAACCCTTGGGATGAACAGTGGCAAAAACGTTAAAGTATTTTTCGTGAGAAATTAATAACAATGATTTCGTGACGTAAAATATCTTCGCTGACAATACAAACATACACAGAATAAATAAATTACAATAACGTGGCAAAAAAGGCGTGATTTTAAACAGTCGTGTTACTACGAGGCTCGTCCTTAAAGTAAGTTTCCCTGGGGCCGTTTACAGAAACAAAACACAATTTCATGGAAATATTTATTGCAACAGATACAGCAAGTGTCCAGCTATTTTTCAACATATTCGCCACCGGAATTGAGACATTTGTCATACCGTGGGACCAACTTTTGAATACCTGTGTCGTAGAAGTCTGCCGCCTGGGATTGGAACCACTGTGTGACAACCATCTCCGCCTCTCTTTCATTCTCAAAACGCTGACGCTGACGCTGACCGGACAGGAATTTCTTGAGGTGTAGGAAAAGATGGAAATCACTGGGAGCGAGGTCCGGGCTGTAGGGTGAATGATTAAACACCTCCCAGCTGAACTCCTGCAGGAGACTTGCTGTCCGTCGAGCCGTGTGCGGCCTAGCGTTATCACTGACCGCACTTCACAGTCGGCGGGAGCTGGAATAAGAACCTCCATCTTCAACAGCTGCAACGATGCTACTGTGAGAACGCGGGAGGTGCCGTTAGTGCATGCGCCATGCTACGTGATTGCTCTATCACGTACGCACAGTCGCTTCGCGCAATATAAGGTTTGCTAGCTGTGGGACGAGTGGGAAACTTACTTTGAGGACGCGCCTCGTACAAAGTGTTTTTTTATGCTAATAATTGCGGCTACTATTTGTTAACAAAATGTGGCGTATGAACTTCAGGTTCCGATCTGGGCTACGGATTGTCCCCAGCTGAGAATACGATACATCATACTCGAATGGATTCTTCTCTTGCCTCGTATTAGGTAGGCGCAGGTTCAAATCTCGGGCCGGAGACCAGATGTCCTGACGGTGGGGTTTATTCAGTCCCTCCAAGCAAACACCGGGACAGAATTTTAAATTTAATGAGAACACACATTTGTTTAGACGCTATTTTTATTTTTATTTATGATGTATGGCGATTGAATAACTCAGATTATTCATACAGCGTCGAATTGTAGATGATAGTGAATAATGAATCGGAAAATATATGGCCTGATTAAGGTACATTCCAAGCATTTAATTGAAGGAAAACCACAGTAAACCAAAGGATAGCTCGGAATCTCCCGCGTAAAAAAGGAGTAGTACCAACCATATGGACGCAACAATCGATCTCAGATCATTATTTACGACCCTATAAAGATCTAATCTAAAGGAAATCAAGGACACTGTGATTAGAAGACTAAGACAAACCTAAAAAAATTGTAAATATTGGCAAATCATCAACTAAGGTCCCGTAAATATCAAGGATAAATTTGTAGGCAGATAGCAACTTTCTTATGAACATAATGCTTCTATCTCCAGGGCAGAACCTAACATTTCTTCAAGGATGAATACGGTACTTGAAACAAATGTACTAACTTCAGTTTTACGCGCCATATTCTGGTCTACTGATTTCGGTGCTTAATTAACCTACGAGTAACACGGATTCCGAGGGTACAGAATAAAAGTAAGTTCTCTCTCCTTTGAAATATGCATCATTACCACTTAATATTAACCGTTTGTCTGGCATATTTCTACAAGATTTCCTCATGACAATCGTGAAGGTTTTCGCATCCCTCAGGCCAATCCACACATTCGTAATCTTAAATATCTGAAAACCTAACAGACACTCTCTGATAAATGTTAGTGTATATGTCATTAGGGTCATTATTACGTGACCTTCTGCAATTTGTAATGGTTTCATCTTTCTTAAGGTCTTGTACTCTTCTGAGTACCTTTAGTTATTCATTTCTCGTCGCCATTCCTCTCTGTCGGTAAGAAAACTGACTGCAGGAAAACCGAATTTTTGCAAAATTCGCGGATTTTCGTTGTTCATGAATTAACGTGATAGAAGTCAATGAGATCTGCATTTAATTAAAATCACTCGACTTTCCGTTACTTATTCAAAGAGAGATAAGTATGTCTGCATCTTCGAACTGAGGTACAGTGTTATTTTAAATTTGAATTGTGATAATACGCTTATTTTAGGTCTAACTAAATTAATGGATGTAATTTCCTGTGCAATGAAATATTTTATGTACATTAATTTATCGAATGATTAAATGTTTGTACCATTAACAACACGCCTTTATTCTTTAAACAGTAAACGAGGTTGTTCAAATAATTATTGCAGTAATATCTGCAAATTAATTTTGTATACTTTGGTATGATTACTCACTTTATAATGTTTATGAAGTGAGTCATTTTGGTTATAATTTAGAACAAAGACAATTCTTTATTATGCCCTATATAAGTAACTAACTCGCTTTATGATATCAGAATACCGAGGTTTAACGCCGCTACGCCAGAAATCACCAAGACACCCCATTTAGAGCCAGCTGAATTAATTCACACCACTCTATTTTCCCAAGATTAATTTTAATATAAACCCACCGTTTTCATTTAAATCCTCCGGATGATCTATTTTTTATATATGACAATATTCTTGCTTTAACTAAATTCAATTCTAGAACATTTGTCCAAAAATCTTTCTTTGGCACCACCAATGTAATGCAAAAAATATATATCGCATTTATTATTATTTCAAATTACGTTTGTTGCTTCATGTTCCCCATGACCTCCCAATAAAATCATGCTATCTTTGCCTGCGTTAACCATACGCCAACCACAGAAACTCTGCGCCATACCAACCATACAAACAGAGTGCAAACATGACTAAACGTTTTTATTCAGCTGGAAGGATGGGCCTGCATGTTTGAAAGTAGATGACTCAACCTCAGTTGAATCGTCGATATAGCAACTCTTAGGTCACTTACAAGTTGAATGCGTTTACGGTAATTCGATTTAATTGCTGCCATTGCTGCATTTTTGTAGCACAGAATTCCTTCTGGGTTCAAGGTCACGTGATGCTAAATCTATCTCCATGAATGATACATTATATAATGTTCACTTGGGGACCAATTTGTTGTACTTCGCTTTGAAGGCCTTTCTTGTGTCCTGTCAAAGCTGTCTGTGAAAAACATGACGCAGTTTGCCCAAGAAATATCTTCCGATGTGAAACAGATATTCATTGCCTTGAATATGCCATTCCCTTTACACATATCTCTGAAAGCGGTAAGTAAACCTTAATTCTTCCTGGATGTTTTTTCTCGAAACAGTATCTCGCAAATACAGCCAGCTGATCCTGAAATGTCTGTTGATTCGTCGATTTGAAGAACAAATTTTGGATTGCAGTTAATCAGTAACGATCAGAAATTGTTTCCTGATGTCTGCTGACATTGGTTAACGGCATGTATTATTTTTGTATTTTCATAGAGACGATGAATTGTTCTAAGAGCTTCGTCATATTTTTAACTTTTCTGATATGCGTTCATTTGATGCATTTATTACATAAAATTCGTAAAAATTAACCTAGTGGAAGAAATTTTCCCTATCGAGTTTGTTATATTACGTCTGGAAAAAGGAATAGAGAAGGGGAATGAAGATAAATTTGTATTTAAAAGAAAAGAGGCTAATGCATATTCTTACCAGATCTCCCAAGTTACGTTGTGGACTGGTGTTATTTTTATTATCTGTTCCTGCATCGTTCAGGCTGGAAACAAAATGCGTGTATGTTCGATGATCGGTAACCAGGTACCGAGTAAATACGAGTTACGTGTGACTTAAGCCCTTCTTATCGAGCACCATTCTTGGGCGTATTT